CGGCAATGCTTTACCCCAACTGATACAATCAGCAACACATTAAGATCAAGCACAACTTGGACACTGACCACCTGTGGTAGTCACTAGTCTATCACCCTTAAATCATTTGAATTAAATTGAAATCAAGAAGCAGTCCAGAACATGTCTGCAGTGAACAAACTTTTCAATATAGTATATTTACCATTTAATGGCTCAGACAGAGCGAGGATGCAAGACCCCTGATCTCAGTTAGCTGATTGCTGAACCCCATGACGCTGACTGACCTCGGGCTGCAAGGCCCAGATTGAGTTCCCCATCCTTCTGAATGGTTGAACTCCGCAACGGTCTATTACAAGTTTCCCACGCCCTTTCTTTAAAGATGTTCAAAATTGGGAACTCAGAAAAATACCCTTGATGACCACCTCTGTCTTTGCAGAGTGGGTCCAAAGACTTGCACAGTCAGGAGGTCTAAGAGTGTGTGTGGGGAATTATGGGGGTTCAGGGGCGCCCATGGCTACCTTCCCGGTGCTTGAGCGATGGCTGCTGGGTCGGGAGCAGGTGTGGTTCTCCTTCCCGCGGTGGATGGGGCCGGCCTACCTTCCCGGCCCTTGAGCGATGGCCTAAAAAAAATTCTATGAGTGACTGTGGTTGTAGCTTAGTAATACAGTGCTTCTTTAGCACTCTCAAGGCTCAATCCCCAGCAATACAAAAACAAATTATTACTATAATTATTTTTCAGCAATTATTTAATAAAACTTGACAGCAAAGGACTACAGTATTCCATGTGAAGATCAGACATATCTGGTCCCTCCTGTGTTGGAATTTATTTTTTAGAGATAGGTAATAAGCCATTAAATGCAAATATTTTAAGAAGCATAGTGTGTCAGGCATGGTGGCACACACCTGTAATCCCATCACTGGAGGCTGAGGGAGGAGGATCACTGGGAGTTTGAGGGCAGCCTGGGATACATAGTTCAAAGTCAACCTGAACTATATAGTGAGACCCCTGTTTCAAAAGGGATTTCTTTTTAAAAAAAAGGAAGGAGAAGGAAGAGAAAAAAAAAGGGTAGAAGCTACTCCTAGTGTTGAAAGAATGTTACTTTGAAAAAGTAACATTTTTTTTTCAAGAGCTGTGGAATTGAACCCATCAGGTTCACACAAGCCAGGAGAAAGTGACAA